CCCTAAGGATACAAAGTTGGGTGGGTAAAAATGGGAAGAGAAATTGGGGGAATAAATATAACCTAAATACATTGTATGAAATTCTCATAATCTGATTTAAAAACATATCCCTTGTATAGCAAACACACACACATGCATGCACACCATTCATAATCTCATATGTTTCTTTAGAATTGTGTGTTAGTATTAATTATCAAGAGAGTACCACAGAGGGATTATCTAAATCCAATTGACCTGTAGACATATCTGGGGGGAAATGGGGTTGTCTTGACTGCCTTACTGTTAGAGGAAGACCCGGTGTGAAGGCAGGCAGCAGGGTCTCCTGGTGTGGTCCCTGAACCAGAGTAAAGAAAAGAACTGAGTATCAAACCTGCATGAGCTCCTTTTCTCTGCTCTTGACTGGATGTGGTGTGTCCGTCTGGAGTTCCAGCCATCTTGACTTCCCTGCTATGAGAGACCATAACTTGGAATTGTGAGTTAAGACAAACTCTTTCTGTCAGGCTATTTTATCACAGCAACAGAAATGAAGCCAGGACAGAAAACAACAGTGAGAATGTGGGCTTGCTGCTGTGACAAACCTGACCACGTGGTGTTTAAGCTTTGGAATTGTCAGAGAAAGGTAGAAGTATTTGTTATGTTGAACTAGAAACGTCATTAGGCTCTGGAAGAAGAGACTCATGGGCTATTCTTACGGCAGCTTGGAAGACAGTGCTGCTGAGAGAGATGCAGGCAGGAGAAGACTGGCTCATGAAGCTCAGAGGAAAACAAAGGCTGGGACTGGGACCATTCCTGCGATGTTTTAGACGAGAATCTGGTTACATTCCGTGTTCTTAAAACCTAGCGAAGCTGAATTTAAAGACAATGGACCAGCTTGTTTGGCAGAGGAAATTTTGAGGTGAGAGCAAATTTGGGCCAGTGCTGCAGAAGCAGCTGTAACTAACAGAGATCAGTACCACCATAGAGAGACCTTGTTCTCACATCAATAACATGCTTACCTCGGGGTCAGCACACAGAAGCTATACAGTTACGACCCCAGGAGGCTCAGCCATATCCAAGGTGACAGCAGAACTTGGTAATGCCATGTGCCATCCACGTGACACTGGTTTTCAAAGTATGAAAGATGCAAGATCAAGGGCATTTTAGAGAGCAGCTGGGGCGAGGCTCCCGGTGGCAAGAGTCACTGCAAACAGACCCTGCGAAACCACGGTATGAAGATGCCAGTGAAGCCTCAGCTACAGCGGAGATACTAGGACGCTGAAGACTGAGGGGTGTTCACCAGAAGGAGATACCGCTGTGGAGCTGGCTTAAGTTGGCAAGAGAAGCCGCGTGTACTACAAGTGGTAGAGCTGGATGGAGAGAGCTACCAAAGTTCTTTGGAACCCACATGCTAGGCCTGCACCTGTAAGACCTGGTGCTCTTCCCTCTGGCCTCTGGGGCTGTGTGGTATGGCTGTTCGTTCTCTACAGCCAATTCTTCCTACTTGGAATAAGGATGTTTTCTCTGTACATTACCTGTGTAAAGTGTATAGCTTGCTTGTCATTTTATAAGACATTTTGGACTTTCAAAGACCTTGGCGACGTTTGAGTTGGCCTTCATTTTATGATATAAATGTGATAGCTTAAAGTAACGTGCTTGCATGTCAGGTTCACAGGGGTCAAGATGTGACCACTACTTTTAATTGTCAACTTGATACAATGTAAAATCACGTGGGAAGATGGTCTCAGAGAGGACATTTCTGGGAGGGAAGAGCTGTCTCGATTGCCTTAATTAATATGAAGATCCAGCCTGGAAGAGGCCTCACTTTGCCTCGGTTTGGAGCCCTAGACTGTGTAGGTGTGAAATGAACAGGAGTTAGCCAGGCATCTGCTCCTGACTCTGCCAAGTCCCTGCTGCCTTGACTCCCCTGCTATGCTGGACCACAGCCTGGAATTGGGTCAGTATAACATCAGAGCAACAGAAACAAAACCAGGAGGTGAGTGATCTCAAAATATATTTTAAAGCACATTTCATTTGAGTTTAGGAAAACTAGGAGCTACAAGGCAGAATGAGACTTGATATATCATGGATAGCCAACTAGTAACACCTGTGTTTGTCTCACGTGTCAAACTACTAGTTCTTAGTGTGTTTGAGAAAAAAAGTGCTGACTTCAAGAGTCATTTACACACATAAAAGACTGTGAGCACTGAACATAAAGAGTAGACGAAAAATTTGATCCATGTGGCTGATGAGGAAGGCATCAGGCAATAAAACAGCAGGCATCCATCGACATCAAGTATAACGATGCTGGAGTTCTCAATCTGGTGCAAGCATAGGAGTCACGGGCATTTAAATAGCAGCATGAATGCATTTTCTGTGTCCTCCTGGTCTAAGTGCCAAATGTGGCGACAAAATCAGATGGTGTACTCTCATGATTCAGGATGAGAAATTTGCACAATCCAGATTCTAAAACCTTTAAGATTTTTTTTTTTAAAGGACACAGACACAGTGGCAGCTCTGGGCCCCACAGGACACTGAAGCGCAGGCACTGCACTGCTCGTGGGAAGGAAGCTTCCAAACTGCTGCTCACAACTGGAATATCTGATGATTCTATGTTAGAAGCAAAGACTTGGTTTAGGGAACCAATTAGGTGAACAAGAATACAAGTTCCTATGCATCTCTGAGAGTTTGGCCCAGATTGCAGTCCTCTCACAAGCTGTGCCTAATTTTATGGATGGTCTTAAGCACTCGTCTATCCACAGAAGTCTTTACTAGTTGCCTATTTATTGCTTAATAAATTTATTATTATAAATAAATAAATAAATTTATTTATTACACAATCTTGTCTCCAAAAACAAACAAAACTGGGGCTGCTGGGAGTGTCTCCTTTTCCAGTCGTGCCGCCTGGAAGTGTGCCATCAACCTTCGCATCAGGAACCAGCAAGGGGGTTGGGTGCAGACTGGACGAGGAGATTGGAGACCAAGTTCTACTGCTTACTGACCGGATTAAGCAAGGTGTGGGATTTCCTGCATGCGGGCTTTGTGAGGTAAGAATGTGGCCCTACTGTCTAAGCCACTGGCCTTGAGTAGAAGACTAGTTTCTATCCTCTGAAATAATGTGATTTTATAGATTACACACATGCATTCATGCACAACAATTCATCTCCTCTTTTATAAGCGAACCTTCACTGCCCGGACCCAGAACCCAGCCTGCAGGGAACTGCGGGTCCTGCACCCCACCCCCGCCCCCACCGCTCAGACCCAGGCTGCAGGGAACTGCGGGTCCTGCGCTCCCCACCACTCAGGTCTCAGGCTCCCACCTCTCCTCTCCCACTTCCCGCAGCTCTTCCCATGTTTGCCGCTCTCCGCAGACAACTGCACCACAGTCCCTGGATGGCACCTCAAACCTCGGTTTTCCATTCCCATTTTCTTCCTGCATTGTCTCCTCAACTCACTGTAGAGGAAGTGACAAATGGTGATAAAGGAAATTTAGAGCTGAAGAGCACAGGAAAGGAAATTAAAAATAAAGCCCAAACTGGCATTTCCTACTATGGTGGTTAGGAGATTGTAGCCCAAGTTCCATTGTGGTTAGGAATTTTTTTTTTAATTTATTTTTATGTGTATAAATGGTTTGCCTGCATGTAAGTATATGCACCACATGTATGCCTGATGCCCACAGGGGTCAGAAGATAGCATCAGATCCCCTAGAGATGGTGTTATAAACAGTTTCTCGGAAGGGGCAGCAAGTGCTCTTAACTGCCAAGCCATCTCTCTATCCCTGCCTTGGTTAGTTTGTCAGCCTGACACAACCGAGAATCACAGTGAAATCTTGTCCAATGACGAGGTTGGCCCGCAGGCATGTCTGTGGGAGATGGCCCTACTATATATTAATGAATACACTGCAGATAGCACCATTCACTGGGGCTGAGTCTTGAACTGTGCCAGAACAGAGGAAAGGAGCTGGACACTGGTGACGAGCACACTCTCTCTCTGCTCTGGTCTGTGGATGTGACTAGCTGCTGCCAATGCCTGTTGCCTTGGCTTTGCTGTTTGACAGGCTCACAGCCTGGAGCTGAGAGCTAGAGTAATTACCGTAGTTTGTTCTGTCGGGGTTCTATCATGACAACAAAGCCAGACCAGACACCTCCATCCTGGAGCTACAGAGGAAAGCATGCCAGGGCCAGCGAGAGCCTGCTACCACTCCCCATTTTTGTACTTCCCTATACTCATTACCAGACCCATTATCAAAACCGAGGGAGGTGGGGCAGAATCTTAACAAATCAGAAGCCAACAACAGAAATTGCAGTGGACTCTAGCAGCAGTGCACAGGCGACAACTGCACGTGCATGAAAGATAACACCATATGAGAACATTCAGGCCCACATCTGCAAGTAAAGCACTCAGAAGGCCGAGGCCAGAGGATTGTGAGTTCAAGGCCAGTCTGGACCTAGATGATAAGTGCATTCCAAAAAAACAAAACAAAGTTGATCTAACTAGACTTCAAGTTGTTGTGTAAGAAAAAATGAGATCTTGTGTTGTTTTTTAAGTTTTAACGTACCAGAAGCTGCTAGTAATAATTCACAACGGGCGATCATCAGCAGGGACTTTCCAGACCATCCGCAGGAAGCCAAGTACAGCACAAAGGCTGACCTCTGACCTCGGCCTCCCGCCCAGTGCAGAGCACCAGGCCTTCCCTGTCAAACACTGTCACTCAGTTTTGTTACAGTGCTGTTGACTGAACATGGAGCCTTGCACATCCTAGGCAAGTGCTCTACACTCAACTCTGCCCCTAGAACCCTGCAATTGTCCTTCTGATGAAATGACTCAGTATTTGCAAGGCTTGTGACCCAGTGTAGCAATAAGTTCATACTCCTGGAAGTCATTCCAGATACTAAAAATATGTTGTCTCTTGCATTAGGTAAGAGTGAAGCAGACCAAACTTCTGTAGGATTATTTGCACTACACACACAGTAGAAAGCTATAGTAAATGTTCAGATATTTAAAGAAACACCAAATACCACAAAGAGCGACCAACATGGTTCTATTGAAAACTGTCTTCAACTATGGCATTCAAGGACAGCAATACAATATTTTCTTTACAAAGTGACGATTATAAAAATCTATAAATGCACAAATTCATTTCTAGGCCATTCTTCTCACATAGCCGTGTCATTAAGATACATTTCCTCTCATTCTGTCCTGAGGTATTTCTGCGGTTTGATTTATTGTACTGCTGGATGCACTCACTGCCTTTGATCATCCTTTCCTAAAATGGTTCTTAAAACCTGCAAAATTTTTATTGCATAGAACACTATTCATGACAGAGAGACTGGGAACTGCAAATATGCTGCACTGAAACAAGTCTTACAAATAATTCATTTTAAGAATTTGTTACATACATTTTTTTACAGTTTGTCTCTTCTAAGAAAAATTGACCTTAGAGGTAAGAGCTAATTAAATACAATAAAGTATTTTAGGAATGTTAGATATTAGAAAGTCAGATGAATGATACAAAGGAAAAAGCCATAATTCTTGCCGGCTATATATTGTATTGCATTCAAAAGCAACTGTACATGCTGTAATCAGTTCATAGTTAAATATTTCTACTAATCTGTTTTGGGAGAGCAAATGTCTTTCAAGGTTTCAAGTTCCTCTATGAGCTTCTTGTTCTGAACTTCCAGCACTGCAACTCGACTCTCCAGACACTTTACATATTCTTTCTTTCGACGTCGACATTCTTTAGCAGCTTCCCTGGAAAAAGTAGAAGCAGAAGGGCAAACAAAACATATATTGCATGCGATTGACAATAAAGCAAGCTTGGTAATGTGAGCAGAGCTGCATTGCAACCAATGGAACAGTATTCCCAATTCACACCCTAAACCAAACTGGATTCTTAAGCAAGGGTTAAGTGACCCATCTACAAGTCCACACGGCCATTAGGAGGATGTTGCATCGCCTGCCTCGATTAGAGTTCACAGTAAACAAGGTCCAAGTCAAACACAGTTACTCTGCTTTATGGCAATAAAGATCTTTGAGGGCCTTGAGTTCCTCAATGAGAGTCTTGTTTTGATTTTCAAGCACAGCCACACGATTTTCAAGACATTTGACATATTCTTTCTTCTTCCTGCGACACTCCCGGGCAGCTTCCCTGGAACCAACACAAGGCAAATGACTACAAGAACAACCTCCCAGCACAATCCAGAGTGGCTCCGTGAACATCTGCCCCCCTTCTCCCCAATCAACAGCCAATTGATCTGAGGACAGGTATACAAAGCCATACAACAACTGAACAAAACACGTGCCTTGTGTAGAACGAGAGAACAACTGAAGAACACTGGTAGTTTTACCCAAATGGTGCCATAGTAAGAATGACCCTCTGCGTTTGATAAACAACAACCAGAGGACCACACACCCAGCTGAAGCTCTATTAAGACATTTACGAATCCTTACATCCCGCTCAGCTAATTTTTGGCTGTCCAAAGGTACACATACTCATCACGATGAGAAAATTTCATTTGATGAAAATGATTATAAGAATCCTATGAAATCTCAAGTGACAATATTGAACAGTTGTATGCTTCAAGACTAAATCTCAACAACATATAACCAATCATGACTTCCAGAGACATTTTTCTGAATAAAAAACACAACATAGATAAATTCAAACAATAAATAAAACACATACATGCTTGTGAAAATTAAAAATAACATGACACAGAATTTAACAATGCAGATAATTTAAATTCACAAGTGTCAGAATACCACAATTAAAATTATGAAAAAGAAACTTGGCATGGTGGTGCATGTCTGCATACCTGGCACTTGGAGATAGAGACAGGAGAATCAGAAGTACAAAGTCAAGGGCTGGAGTGGTTAAGAGCACTGGGTGTTCATCCAAAGGACCTGGAAGGTTCAATCCCAAGCACCCACATGATGGCTCACAACTGTCTGTAACTCCAGTTCCAGAGCATCCAACACCTTCTTCTGGTTACAAGGACCACCAGGCACAGATATGTATTCAGGTCAAACACTGACACACATTAAAAAAGTAATTTAAAAAAATAAAAGAATGGTCAAGGGCAACCTCAGCTACTGTATAAGCACAGGCAGTCTAGCATATATTACAGCCTACTGTAAATAACTAAGAACGGAGGCCGCTAGCTCAGGAAAGAGTACTTCTGTGCTCTTCTCTAACCACCGGCATTTAACGCACATCAAACACATTTTACAGAACTTTAAGCAATCCAAGGGAAAAGACAGATCAACAAGCAACCAAATGACTAAAACTAATGAAGACAAGTTAATCACTTTCATGCATGATTACAGGAAACAATAACTAACATTGTCCCCATTTTCTCTTTTTTTCAGAGTGGGACAGGATGGCATCGACTTCACTTAACTCCTGCACAGGAGAGGCCCTCTGATGAAGCTTTATTGGTAGTGCTCAGGAACTGTCAGCCATTGTCACTCAACTGGATTTTTTCACAAAGGTAATGTTGCATGTCTAAATACCATTGCTAATGCTGGTCGGCAATACTGACCCCCAGCTGTGACACACGCAATAGACCCAGTCGACTATTGTATTTTTAGAAGAATTGACTCTTGTGGACTGGATTTCTGTTTCCTCTATGCAATGCGAGTCAGCAGAAAAGGAATGTTGAAATCCCTTGGCCTGCAGGGAAAGAACAGGACCCATTTCCTAACCAAGAGTGATGTATTACTCACCCTGTGAGTCCACCAAGGCTGGACAACTAGGTAATGAAAAACTAAAGCATGTGAAAGTAAAAGGAGACTGACAAGCAGTGGCTGTAGCAATCCAGGGGACACAGCGAGAGCGACAACGACAGCGTGTCCAAGCACACAAATCTGACAGCTGGAGACTGCAACTCAACTCTCTTCCACGAGGAAGAAAAATTTATTTATAAGTTTCTATGTTTCATCATTAAATAAATATGCTAAATTCTAAATCTTTCTATACAAACATTAAATGAAAGTTTAAATACATAATAGCAATGTTGTGGGGTGGTTAGCTTTTAAACTCTTGCTTACGAAGCTACTTACTGTAAATATCCACACTTCACGTCTTACACTGTGTGTGCAATGTAACTAGAGTCAAAATGTCCCCGGCACAAAGTGATCACACACAAGGTTGGTACATTCCTAAGTATTCTCAGCTGTGGAAAACACCTGCTTCTACTATTAATAGCTAGCTCCATTTGCAGGCTTGAATTTGAGTCCGTCCTCAGCGTGGGGAGGAAACAACAAGGTGAACTACAGGAAAAGGATAAAGAACCCAGTGGGCTGTACACCTGTTCTGCCAGCACTCAGGAGGGGAAGGGAGGCAGGAGGAGCACAAGTCTGAGGTCAGCCTGGACTACACAGTCAGACAGTCTCAAAGCCAAAGACAAAATAACCAGGCTACAAAGGAATAAAAGTTACTGCTGACCACTATGGTGGGGATATAATTAGTATCAACATCAGCCAATATATGAGCTCATTCATGCTAACTACAAAATCTGCATCCTCTCCATGAAGTCCAGTCTGAAGCTTTGCACCAGGGTTATTTCAGGCGACCCTGGTGTAAGGATAGAGGAAGGCTCTGGAAGAAAGAACCGTTAGACAGCATACCCTACTTCTGGCTCCTCTGGCTCTGTGACCTTGGCCAACTTGCCACTTAGCCATTTCCAACTCCAGCTCACTACCTGCAGAGTGAGACAGTATCCGCCCCGACCTCACTAGCGCTGGGAGACTGAGGAAACTGGAGGAGGAACAAGGCTTGAAACTTGCTGAGCCGAAGCTGAGTCACCAAGAGCCATGGCTACTGCTCTTCTCCAGTCTAACTTTAGTGCTAAACAATGCTCCTCAGAACCCCTATGGCCAAAGAAACGTAGGTAAAAGCTGCCATAAATGTCTTCTAGAAAAGAATCTTCTGAAGAGACGACTGAGCCAGCTGCACTCTCTGACCATAGTCATCCTCCCATCTTCCTGTCTGACACCACCTGGAGGAGTCTTCTGTTTCTACTTCTACTGTGGTCATGATAACAAATTGTACACACTGAAGATGCAGCATCAAGGAGAAGCCTGGGTCCCTGGGATGCCATGAACCTCTGATCTGGATGCACATACCTCTACCCTGCCATAAAGATCAAAAACCTGACTGGATATTTTAGCCTCTATTTCCCTTAGCTATTTGTAGCCAAAATATATTCTATTAATTATTAATTATATATTTTAAATACAGGTGTGTGCTATCACATGGGTTAAGGATTAACAAAGAGTCATAACATGGGGTAGTCTTGTGAGCTCCACCCATTTAGCCTTGTCTATACATTTGAGAGAGAGTCAGAGCCAGAGAATGTCATAAGTGAGTGTGCCTGTCAACGGTGCTAGTGCCCTGGAGCTGAAGTTACAACCAGTTTCAAGCAGCTTGATGTGTGTGCTAGGAAACAAACTTGGGTCCTCTGAAGAGCAGCAAGTGCTCTTGCGCTCTGCACAGTCTCCCCAGCCACTCTGTCTGGATTTCTGAGCACAACACCGCTGATAAAAATAAGCCCTGAGACAAACTATTGATAAATGTTTCTATTTTATGATCCTACTTCTAGTGTACAAACTCCATCCAATGATCCAGGCAAGCAGTTAAGTTTGGTCTTATGGAGTCACACAGTGTATCATATTGAATCTTTAAAAAGTTTTATATTTTTTATAAACTTTTTTGTTGTATTGGTGGTAGTTGTTTGCTTTTGTCACCCAAGTTAGCCTAGAACTCTATTATGCAAACCAGGCTGGCCTCAAACTCACAGAGATCCATTTGCCTCCCCCTCCCAAGTTCTGGGATGAGAGGTGTGTGTCACCACACCCAGCTCTATTTTTATCTGTATAGTGTTTTGCCAATATTTATGTCTGTGTACCACATGCATGCCTGGTGCCCACAGAGGCCAGAAGAGGACAGCAGCTGCCTGAGAAATGGGGCCAGAGGCAGTTGTAACCCACCATGTGAAGCTGGGAATCAAACCAAGGTCCTCAACAAGAACAGCAAGTGCTCTGAACTGCTGAGCCATCTCTCCAGTCCTTACTTTGTGTGTGTGTGTGTGTGTGTGTGTGTGTGTGTGTGTGTGTGTGTGTGTGTATCTGTGTATCTGTGTACATGGGTGCCTACAGACACCAGAAAAGGGGCTGGAGTTACAAGGTACTATGAGCCATCTGATACGGTTCCTGGAAGCAAAACTCAGGTCATCTGCAAGAACACTAGATTCTCTCAACTGCTGACTCATCTTTCTAGCACCCCAACTGTCTTTTAAAGGACCATTAATGCAATGAACACAATCACCTAAGTCAGGCCCCTGTTTATAAGACAGTGAGCTTCAGGGATTCAGCTGCCAAATCTGTAGATTAACTAGGTTGGTAACATTGGATAGTCAATGACCACCATCTGCTTCTGCCGCAGACAAGCAAAGCAGTTGAATCTACCTTACTGCTTTCTTACAATAAGATAATAATTTAACACTGAAGAACAGGCAACAAAATATACCAGGAAACTCTTGGACAATTCTCCTCATTTTGAAAATCAAACTAAGTTGTATCATTCTCCATAAAAAGAACTAAAAAATAAATATGCAAATGACATAAATGAACTATTATTTAAGCTTGTTTTATAATATGATATGTTAGTGTATGAACAATGACACAGATCCATGGAGCAATAGTAAATGAGAGAAGCAGTGGAACTCAAGAAACTGACTCAGGAAGCTGAGGCAGGAGGACAGGGGAGAAGACTGCAAGCACACCTACTATAACATTAACTATATGGCAGGGGCATGAGTAATTTTTGTTATTTTATATTTATACTTGACTAGAATTTGTCAAAAGAGCATATACTACTTCATAATGGAGTAAAAACAATATAAAATAGCTAAAAGGATAAAATATAAAATGTTTTAACACTTACATTTATTTTGTTAATAAAGAAGCTAAAAAATCAGGGTCAGAGATGTATCTAGATGTTTGCCTAGCATGCCCTACGTCCTAGGTTCTATCCACAATACTGATTTGGGGAAAGGGTGCTAAAATTTAAATTAAAATAAAATTTAAAAATTTACTTTTCACAATACTTTTTAGCAAAATATATAAATCAAGCTTTACTTATAACCAAGAATCTAATAATATTGTATTAAAAACTAACATATCTTTTAACAACCCTTACAATATAAAGGAAAGTATCTCCTGCTTATGAAATGACTACAAACTCACCAGAAGACAAACCAGCATCACAGGCAGAGCATGAGCACATGCAAGAAGCCGCAGAGCACTGAACCTGAGAAACAGCTTAGCAAGAGCAAGCTAATACATTAAGAGCACACCACAGCAGATGGTGCCTCCCACAGTGCCTACTAAAGTACTGGCTCACACCCAGTACTTTACCTGTTTTTCATCAGCCTCAGCTCCCGCTTGCGAGTTGCTTCTTCTGCTAGCTGCTGGGGACTGTGCAGACTTCCTGGTGAGGCAGCCATCACCACTCCTTGTGGCAAAGCAGTAGTAGGAGCCCGGATCTGGTAAGTTGGCATGTCACCTGTGGCAGCTGCAATGAAACAAGGTATTATAAGCTTATATCACCACTTCACTCGCTAATACTGTACATAAAATTAACCTAGAAATCGTATAGTTTATAGATGTTAGTAGAGACTGTTTGGTAGAAGCAAAAATGATTGTTCTTAGTATTATAGGGGTCTTAAATATCAAGAAATTATCAAATTGAAACAAAGCTACAAATATTTCAGCTTCTTCTTCACATCTTAGAAAATATCCTAGCACATTTTAGCAGTTTTTCGCTCAGGTTAAAGCAGATAGGCTTTCCAACTACAGTTCATTTAGCTGCATCAGCGGTGTGCTGGTAACTCTAAGGAATTACTCTGTGGGGGCAGGAGTGGAAAGTCTTGATGGGCAGAATCTAGTGAGTTCCACAGCAGAAACACTTCCACTATGGCAAGATCAAAGACGCCAATGTGACCTCAGTCAGTGGCAAGCTGGGAGGAGATGTCACAAATGGAAACAACCTGCAGATTCCTGCAAATAAGGAGCACTCGAGGACTGCCGCTGCCTTCAACACTGAAAACTGTTCATGACGGCTATTTCACAACTCGCTCACAAAGATCCTGAAGCTAACATCTCGCTCTAGCATGCCAGTAAAAGGCAGAGCCAGCATGTCATCCCAAATACTCCAAGGAGGACAGAGCCATCCTCTGGATGTTCCAACTAGGACTTCCCTGTGCCTACACCTGAAACAGATATTCAAAACCTTTCAATTACAAAAAATAAAAAAGGTGGGGAGGATAAAAGGCTAAGTCGAGGGAAGGGATCTAACTGGCTATAGATTCACTTAATGTTAACAGGAAAAATGGAAGAGAAACAGTAAACTGACTTCTTGAGGGAAGTCCTAAATTTATTTTCATTACAGTTGCAAACAGTATACACATGGAAATCTCATCGGATGTGCAAGTTTTAAACATTTAAGAAGAAAACAACAGATAAACTAACAGGTTAATTAACATCTTATTCTGCTGATCATCTTGTGCGAGGAGATAAGGGCTGAAACAGGAGGCCACAGCCCTCCCCCTTTTCTTTGCCCACATACGAGGAAGGAGGTGAGGAAGGAGGTTACAAGTCAATAAATGCTGGAACAATGCCCCGCTACAAACTGCCTGGCTTCCTAAAGTCAGCACAATAACCAGTGACGAAGGCAGAGCTTACACACCCCTGCACTTGTGTCTTGCTGGCAGCCTGAATGCACACCTGCTTCCAGCCGTTCTTTGAAACTGCTCATAAACAAGTGTAAAAACAACACTAGAGATGTGCAGAGTGGGTGAGAGGTTTTTCTGTCCCTGCCAGGCCCTAAATAAAGATACTTTTCTAAAAGAAAGCTAGAGAAAGGCAGGAAAGGGAGGAAGGAATAGTTTCACTATACTTTAAATGTACACATTGGCTATTTTCTGTAATATGTGAAACAGGATGTACAAAAGCTGTTAAGGGCATTCTTTTCATTTTTTAAGGGAAGACAGGCAGAGACAGTTCACAGAGGCAATGGATATGAGAAACAGTATTTAAAAAACAAACAAAACCCTTTTGTCTGTCTGCAGAAGCCACAGCTGCCCTTGGAGAGCCAGACTTGGGAGCATGAGGGACAAGGGTAATCCCAAATGAGGAATTCTTCAAACCTGTTGGGCAACAGCTTAGCTGCGTTGCCTCTGCAAGGGCTGATGTGTCGGGGGTATTAGCGCTGAGAGAGAAGGGGCGCTTGACTTCATTGTGCTCCGGTTTTCTTTCTATTCGTTCTAACACAAGTCCAGGATTACAACTCAACAGTTCAATCAACAAGTAGGAATTAGTGTAAATTAGGACTTAAAATAGATTCCTGTTTCAACCCAACAACCCAATGATAAACTTTCACTGAATAATGGATAAATTCTATATATGCAAATGTAATCTTAGAGATGTACACCAAAATGCTGGGAGAAAGAGACTTATTTTGAGGGAATCTAAATGTCAAAATTCTTTGAAACAAGTTACAAGAATATGTTTATCTTAGCATCGGTGCCTAACACTATAAATTCAGTGGTAATTTCAAAGAACCATCCTACATTCTCTGGTGACATAATTTTATTCATGCTATTTATAAAGTCCAACTCCTATTCCCTTCTAAGTACTAACAGTGTCTAAACTATTTTTGTAAGGGCTTTTAGGTAAACTCTATATTATATAACTCAGATTAGCATTAAACTTTCAATTTTCTTGCCTCAGTCTAAGTGTTGGGGGTTATAAGCAGGTGCCACCACACCTGACTTTAGAGCTTCACTTTTATTTTTTGAGAAACCATAGGTCATGTATAGGGGTTAAAAATCATAACTGAAGATAATAAAAAATATGCTTTGCTGTTAATAGTATACTCCAAGTTTATTCTCAGGGAGGCAAGAACTTCCAGACAAGTCAAGAATAGTATCTTTGCACTTTCCGCTCTAGAACCTAGCATAGGACTTGGTATGCAGGGTGCTTAACGGATTTATGTATACCCTACCAAGTCAAGTTTAAACTCCCTGAGATATTGCACAGACATACTGTCATCTGGAGTATTTAATGAGCTTCTTGCTATGGATGTGGACATTTTACTGCAGCTGTGTCTTTAACACAAAGACAGTAAATCCCATGAGATGCCACATGCTCATTCAATCTGGCATGTCTTGACAAAAGGCATTGTTCTTTCTTGAGTCATGTTACATGTACCTAACATAGCAACTCAGAGGCAGGGGGTTCTGATGTTTCCAATCATCTAACTCCTGGCATGTGAAAAACAATTCCTGGAGCTGTCAGTTCTGATCATGAACTTCATACCTCGCTTGTCAAGCTCTAGCACGGTACAGAAGAAAAAGCACTGGATTTGGGGTCTGGGTTATAGTCCAGTTCTGCCACTTACCAGCCATGTGACTTGGGGCAAGGTCAGTCTCCTCATCTGTAAAATGGGGATACATTATCTCATTTCATACTCACAAGAAACCCCATAATATATCTCAAAATGTCTAGCTCAGTGCCTGGTACACAGCAGACCCTTGATGCATTGGTTCCCTTCTAATCCCTCCCTTCATGTCTAAAAGACAGTGCTCTAAATTATACTTACACTATGTTTACCTAAAAGGCTTAGAACACCATCAATAATCCTTCCCTTTAGATGTTCCCCTTCTAACAAGTCTGTGATTCAAGACTAGCGCATGACTCTTAGTCCTTAGAAAAAACAAGTCAGAGACAGAAACAGAGATGTAACAAATATCCCCAAATATCACCTATTCTGATAGCTTCCAAAGATAAGCTATTCATCAACACCCCCAAAGGACTGTCATTTTATTCAATTATTTATCGAGGTGCACATTGACTGAATACATGGGGCTTTGTTGGCTTGCTTTGGTGTTTTCTGCTCCAGCCTCCAGAGCACTGGGATCACGAACATGAACCACTAAACGTATCAAAGTCCCTGCTTCTCTGTCATTTCACTGTGAATGAGTAATCTCAAGGAAAGCTCAGGAAATAATAGGAGTAACTCAGCAATCACACTGGTAACTGAGGAAAAGTGACTTTTCTAAAGCTCCCCAAAGCTACTGGCACCTTCCTGGCCCCTTGCCCAGTTCTCTCCCTCTTAATCGGTTCCCACATCGGTGCTCCTGGTTCCCACGTCAGGCCTCCCCATGCCTTGTGTCCCACTCTGTCAGAAAATTTCCCTTCCCATTGCTCCTTTTTCTGTGGAAAAACAAAATCCTACAAAAAAAAAGTAACTAAGCAAGCAGTGAGCATTTTCAACCATGTTTCAAGTCTTAAAACATACAGACCGTACAGAATTAAGTCATTAAATTTTTTCAGTTTAAGACCAGCAAAACAGTTCAGGGTGTAAAAGTATTTGTCACATAAACATGACAACCTGAGTTTGATCTCCTGGAACCCAAGATATAAGAAGACAACCAACTCTTCAAATCTGTTCTCTGACATCCACATGCAGGCCATGGCACAAGTTGTACATGTGTTCACACACACCTGTACACACACACACACACAAACTAATAATAAATCAATTTTAAATAACTATTTGCAACTTTTATTTATTTGAGGTATAGTCAACAATTTAAATTTATATATATTCAAGTTGTTCAACGATAATTTGATGGATTTATATACAATGTCAAATAATTACCATATTCATTCAACCCAAGTTACACATAAAGAGACTTTTTAGGTTGTTTATTCAGTGAAAGTCAGGAAATTTATGAAAAAGACAGGTAATTATGAAAGCTGAAATTCAAATAATGCCCTATTGCCTTATCAGAATAATAGCCTGGGGGGACCCATTTTGATTACTTAAAGTGGTGCTAGCTTCATTTAGCTGTGTCTAGCATGCTATTATGACCTATGCCACATTAGCTACATTATATATCAGTGTCTGGTGAATTTGAGAGCAGCATAGTACAGTATGAGCAGAGCCAAAGGATTATGAAGACCAGAGTGCTTCACTGCTGGCCATCTTTGTGACTCAGAAGAACACCTGCCGACTCTGACTCCCATTTCCTCACATCACCACCCGTGCAGTAGCACCTGCCCTGTGTGCTCCTCTTCCAGGGTTTAGTATGGTTTCCTCTATGTGAGCCTCCAGGGTTTAGTATGGTTTCCTCTATGTGAGCCTCCAGGGTTCCAACCTGCATTTCCTTCTTCCTGTGTCTACTTTATAATTTGAGTACTTTGCCAGCTCCTTCCTTAACTTGTATTCACAACTTACTTATAATAAATACCTTACATATTTTATATATATTTACACAAATGTAGAAGTGTTGACATAGTTACTTTATTAGGCAATCTATTCAGATAGGTAAATAACTGCCCTAAACATTGTATTAAAATGTATTCACCAAGTGGAGACAGCACAGTCACTGTTCTTTGAGCTTTAAGGCCTTACTGAAAACAAGGCAGGTTATTCTTCTGTCTACTTCCAATACAAGTATAAATTACTTTAATACCAACTTGTAAAGTTAAACTCTAATCAAAACTATC